GATTGTTAAGTGTTTTTTATAAGATAATTGTTTTTGTAACTTTTATTTTCAATAATTAAACAAATTAAGGATGAGATGAATTGCAATTTGACGCATTTTATTTATAATTATTTTATACTCCAAAATTAGGGTTATTGACAGTACTTTTCAAAACAAAAAGAGTTTTATGTTAAAATAATTCAAGAACATAATTGATAGAACACTTGTAATTTTACGTGTTTGTTAATTTAAAAATATTTCATACTTATAATAGCTAAAAATTATCCTTATGCAAATTTTTTTATTTTTACCATTGTTAAAAACTATGTCAAAAAGTTTTTTTTGACATGATGGTTAAAACCATCAAATGTCAAAAAAGTGCTTAAAATATTTTTCGAGTGCTTAAAAGTTGCTTATTTTTTCTTGAAAAAATTTGGCTATGCACCCTGTGTAATTCCTACTTTTTATAGAAAATAAATCCCATATAATTTAAAAAAACCTTGTGATAAAATTTTTCATCACATATAAATAAGATATCTGAATTAATTAAATGGATATAATCTCAATAGCAGAAACCTCTGTATGAAAAGATTCTTTATGCAACACCGTGGAAAAAATTCTAAGTTCCATGAAAATATGCATTGTGGCATTAATTCTGTTACCGGGCTATAATAAATAGCAAAATGATTGATTTCGATAATATTAAGTTTTTGCATTATTTTTTATGATAAAAAAGAACTCGAATTCATGTGACATTTCCGAAATATTTTGCAAAACATTACCAAATGTATCAAAAATGAATAAAAAATTTTTTTCAATATCTCATGTTCATTTAAAAAATTTAATGATATTCTGATTTACCTATTATTTTTTTATTCCTTCATTTTTTAGTCATTTTCTTTACATTTAAAATCAGAATTTATATTTCTTCTTTTATTTTTTTATTAGTAGCCCTATAAAAATTGGAGCAAAATTAAAAACTTCTTTAAACTTTCAACAAAAATGCTTTTTATATTGGTAATAAACTAAAACTTTTTATTTTCATGCAAAATATTTAAGCTTATTCAAATTTTCGCCTCAAATCATTAAATTACATTCCTATTAAAAATATGAAGAAAAATTAGGCAGTACACTGAGTATAAATTTTTTTAAACCAAAAATATGACAAAAAAGGTCTAAAATAAGTAAAACTTAAATTCTGTAAAAATACAGTGTATTATTTTTATGCTATTCTTTGGCGTCGTTGGCGGGGGCATATGACTCCCACAATAATTAGAAATTACTAAAAGTTCCCCTCAATACTTCAAACAAAAAAATTATGAATCATTATCGATTTCTATTTATCGAAGTTAAAGACAAGAAAGGGATAAAATAAATATAAATTTTTTTTAAACATTTATCAGACATAAGAACATTTTTGTGTGTAAAATTTTTTTTTTGTGTGTAAAATTTTAAAAGCTATTGTGATGTGTATTTTAATTTCGCCCCCCCCTCGAAAAAAATACGGCTGCTATTGAAAGGGGGTACGTTTATTGGAAATGATAGTCCTTGAAACTATCCTAGATGCACTAATAAATTCACCATGTATTTAATAAATCGGCAAAAAAAAATTTTTTTTTTCAGTTGATTATTTTTTTATGTTAGACTATGAATTTTATATATATATATATTTTCCATTGCTCGATACAAATTGGAATCCATTCATAAGTTTAAACATAAGGGGCGGAAGTATTTTCAAAGTGGAAAGGCTAAGTAGTATAACTATGATAAAAAAAGTAGAGTAAAAATAAAAGTATGATAAAACAAAACCAATAACATTTGCATTTGAAAAATACGTCATGTTGTGCAATATTTTGCAGGCACGCAAGTGGTGCAATTAAGCGGTAAAACTATTAATCCAATGTTGTGCAATTCACCCCTCCCACTAGTTTTCATGAGTTCATTTTGATGCTTTCAAGCATTAGCCTCAGTTTTGTGAACTAAACTATTAACTTAAGAAGGGATAGGATATAGTAGGAATTCAACAAGAAGACGTGATCATAGTAAGTGCTTTTTTTTTTTTAATGGTAACGGAGGCTGCTCTTGCAAGTGAAAACTATTAAATTATTCCTTCACAAAAATTATACATTAAAATTCTCTAAATAGTATTAGCTAGTTTAATTTTAGAGGTCACAGTAGCAAGTCATTAAATGACCATAGTCATTTTCTTTGAATAATGAGAAAAAAAAAATCCACCTCCCTTTTGGAAAAGTTAGTCGTGCCCGCTTTGAGTTCCACATAACCAGGGTCGGGTTTTTCGGGGTAAAATTAGTTTTTAGTACGCGTCCTATTTGCGCTCATTTCCTTGTAAATTCACATTACTTTTCAACTGATATTTTCAATAGGTTATAACAGCAAGTGAATTTCGACGCGTGTATTCGATAGATGATTTTAATTTTTTTTTAACAGTTACACGAGTAGGTTTGTAAATTCCGATATTTTTAAAACATAAGTAATACGACTTGTCTCGAATCGTTCATATGAGCAATCACTATTCTACCACATACACGTTAGTTTGATTTAGCACATATTTTATTGTAAATCCATGCTGTTTTTATAGTTATTGCTAATAGGTGATAGATTTCTACGTTTTTTAAATACGATATTTTTACAAAAAGTGGAAATTTGTGGTACGCGTGACAGTGTTAAGATTAGAAAAAATAGAATTTTTTTTCAAAATTATAGTCGCCACTCAAGATGCATAGGTAGCTTATGAAACCTTTTGAAGGTAAGAGTCACTCTGTCTCATCACACCATTTACAATTTCAAAAAATTCTGTGAGTTTGCTAGATAACTTTATACAGGAGAAAGTGAGAGTTAAAGTCGACTTAATAAGCAACACAAATTTATCTGGAATCCTGGTCAGCAAACAGCAGTTAAAATATTTTCTTTTAAGTTCAACGATTTGAGGTAGAATTAGAAGCCAAGTCTTGGACTCTACAGCTTAACATTGTCTTCAACTTATACCTAGTTTCTACATCATTCAATTTCAAGCTTGTTTTTACATTTTCTTTGACTATTTTGACCACAACTAAGTAATGGTCTGTCTATGTTCGCATCTCGAATGGTCCTTACATCCATAAGATAAAATGTCTTGCTTCCATCAGAATATGGTCAAAAGATGTGAAATCTGGTAATCTCCAAGCTCATTTATGGATATTCTTGTGGAAACATTGTGCTTCTCAAAACCATACGTTCAGCTGCAAAATCGGTAAGTTTTACACCATTATTATATGCAGGCTATGACTTCCAATGATAGATTTAAATTAATCTTTTCGTTCGATTTTAGTAATAAAGTCGCCAAATACAAGTTTGATGTCACTCCGAGGGCATTCATAATAGAGAGCATCCAAATCACTATTAAAAAAAATCTGTTTTCTAGATCATCTTTCCCCTTTTTGGTGCATGGGTACAGATACTATAATTAAAGAACTTACCCTTTATTCTGATTTTACACAATCAGGATGACTTAAAATCCAAAACTAACTCCTTTGTTAATCATAAATCTTGTGCTAAATACATGCCTTTTAGAATCACAACTATAGAATAAAGAATAGGTATAACTCTCCAAACCTCAAGCTCTTTTAATTGCATACATTTTCTTATGTATTGATATTTTAAGAAATTATTTCTAATGAATTGGGATGCATCATTGACAATGCATGCACATTTATTTTCTTTTTTAAACTAATCAGTTTAATATTAAATTTTAGAGTACTTAAGAAGAAAAAAAATATGTAACAAAAAATAAAGCAATAACAATTGACAAGTTTCTTCATACGTTAAAATTAACTTTTTCAAATATAGTTAATATTCAAGTAGATGGAAGATTAAAAATTTTCTTTCGTAGGTTGAAATGATTTACTTATTAGTCCAGATAATAAAGAATTAACTCTCTTTTGTTCCCACTGTTTCGAATTTCACTTCTTATAAAAAAACTTTATAACCAACTAACTTTAAAGTTAAACTTGTAGAACTTTAAATCTTTTCACGATTGTTCACAGAATTGGGAAACTTACTACACATAGATACTTAACATGTGCACCCATCTCTTCCCAAATTAAATCATACCAAACATTTTTTTTTTTAGTGAAAAATAAAGTCATCATTTATAATAAATGTTTTTAAATAAATATACAGATTGGGGACCTATAAAACTGCACCATTTAACATTGTCTGCATGATTACCAAACATCAGCATTATTTTTCAGCAAAATATATTCATTTACCAGATGAATGTCTTTTTTTCATGGTATGCCGTATATTGAAAGAATGTTTCGTTGGTCCCTAAAAAACAAAAATTAATGAACTAGTAATGCTCAGTTCTGATAGTATGTAACTAACGATAGTTTAACATAACTACAGTAATGCTTACAGTCACTTAAAATGGAGCTGTTCCAAATGTTTCTGGATTTATTGAATACCGAAATTCAGTAACACCCAAATGCTCTCTGAGGTGCCCAATTAAATTATTTTCTAAAAAGTGACCAAAACAAAGCCTACATTCACACAAAAAGGTATCACATACCTCTTAAAAAAAAGAGAAAAGAGACCAAGTTTTACTTTAACAGTTGCTGGGATGATAGATAGGTCAACCAAGCTAAAATCTTTATTGTAATATATATCAGGGGTGTTTGTGACACAAAGTGAAAAACCCTGAAAATTATTAAGCGCAAAAAATCGATATCAATTTATATCTATACAGTTTCGTATTTAAAATAATTTTAAATAAGATTTATAATTAAATTACCTACCAATGAATTTTTAAAGTAACTAATTTAAGAAAAATCTTAACCCTTACAAGAATCACTGTCGGATTTTTAAAATCACTTAAATATGAATTGCAATATATTGGATTCAAAAATCAACTAATCTAAGAACTACCAGAAATACCACAGTATTTAAGCTATTTTATTTAACCTACAGACACAATAACAAAGCAGAAATTCAAGAAGTATCAAACTAAATGAAAGAAAGGAATGTAATAGAACAAAATCATTTTAATAGATCACATGCTTTATGAGTACACAAATTTGATAAAGAAATGATTAACACATTATCAAATTTCAAATGATAAATGCACAGTTCGAAATGATGTAATACATTAAAAATTAAAATACACATCCAGACAATTTGTTATGTCGACAACGTAAAGATCTTAGTCTTTTCAACCGGTCTGTTCTAATCTCCAGATGATGCTCTGCCATTTCTAAATTAAAACAAACAAAAAAGAGCAAAACATAAGAAAAAATTCAAAAAATAGGAAAACGAAGAGGTTTTTTTTTTTTTTTTTTTTAAAATAATAGATCACAATACCACCTTTAACTTTATATAACTTCTGAATGATAAAAAAAGTGCCAAATAATAATCAAAAAAATTTTGTACAGCTAAATTTGCTACATAATTATAAATCAGTTAAGTGTTGTTTCATAACCAGCTAAATCAAATCTGAGAAGGAAAAAAAAATTAATTGCGAAATTAGTCAGGAAACTCAGAGAATCCTCCCAATAGTAAGAACACAGATTACAGATTATCAAGCAAAATATATGTCCAAAGATGTCAACTGCACAAAAGTCACTGTCTAAATAAACAAATATATGAACAACATATCTTTTCTTATTTAACTTGGGTCATCAATACTAAAGATTGCTAAGTCAAGGGCATAAACAACTTTTTAGGAACATAAATGCAGTGAAAGAAATACATGGCAAATCTAATCTTAACAGCCATGAAGCTAGAAAATTAACTGATGATATTCATTCTTCCATTAATCATGGGGATGGAATAGTCTAAAAAAATTCTGAATAACCGAAGTTAACTTCGAAAGAGTAACACTAGACAACAGTTTAAATTTGTCATTTGTAATAATAAAAATATACTACTAAATATTAATCTATCAAATTTCTAACGTACAGTTTGTCCGGAAAAGATAATTTTTTTTAAAAAATATAAACAATATTCAACCTTCAGGGTTTTGACACACATCCCTTTAGTAAAAAGAAGAAAGCGAAAAAAAAATCACTTAATTAAAATTGACAAAACAGACATTCATTGACTGATTCAAGGTAAAGTTTAAATATATATGTAAATGAAAGGGCGAAAGCTAACTAAAACTAAATCAAATACTATAACTAAATCAAATATTAAAAAAAAAAAAANAAAAAAAAAAAAAAAAAAAAAAAAAAAAAAAAAAAAAAAAAAAAAAAAAAAAAAAAAACAAGTCCGAAAAAAAAAGAAAAGAAAAAAAGGTGGTTGTAAAAAATTTATATTTACTAAAAGATTAACTTAATGAGTTTGTCTAAAATATGAAACACCATTGTATCAGAAGTCCAGGAACGCAACAATATTCACCTGCTTCGAGAACCAGATCTACTTCTTGATCCACCAGCATGTCCTCGTACTGGGCTTCTGCTAGCTGAACGGCTGCGAGAACGACTTCTGGATCGTCGTCGAGGAGAGCGAGATCTTGATCTAAGAGTAAAAAATCCAACTTTTAAAGCATAAAAAACATTTATCTTTTTTAACTTACCTGAATAGCAAAATCAATATGCAGCTAAATTTCCTAGATGACAATTTAGGAATAAAGAAAAAAGCCTCTACAATAGGCACAGATTTTATCAACTTCTCGCAAAAGTATTCATCTCTAAGGTTAGTTATGTTCCGGCTATACACCAGCCCAGCTACTTATGATTGTCAGTCATATGAGGTTAACAGAAAATTAACCAAGCTATGTCACAAGCACCAATTTTTCGAAAGGTGAAAAAAAATTTAAAACTGAATTTTAATTAAGAGGAATTCTTAATCACCTAAAAAATTGTCAATCCAGAGGAGGATTGTTATGTTTATGAAAATCGGTTCTATAATTTGATAAATAATTTTCCTTCTTATTCCAAAAAAAACTTTTTTTACAGCTCAGTACAGTGATAAAGAGCTTAATACATATATATAAAAAAAGAAAAGACAAACCTCTTTTCAATACTTAGAACAACTTATGTTGATTACTAAAAGTAGCGAGCAGATGGGACAGTGTCGAATTTATATTTCAAGTCGTTGTGCAGAGTCGACAGTATAACATTAGAGATGAACAACACCTTAAAGATGATTTGTAGACGGTTGACTAGAAGTAGTGCGCTGAAGAGCTGAGCTGTGACGAGACGATTCATTTTAAGGCATTTTAATGTTGAGGTGTAGCAACATATTTAGCAGCGGTTCATTGTTGAATGCTGATCACAACAATGCAGCTGGAGTGATAAAGTTGATTTTTACACAACTGAGGCTGCTTTAGCCTATAAAAGTTAAATAGTTTTAATGTCATAAATATCAGTCTTTTGTGGATATTTTCTTAAGATAATTTTTTTGTTAAAACTGTTTATTATCGAAAGAAAGATTTAAGATTTTTCCTAATTAAGATTTAAGTAGATTGAATTGATTACATTTTATTGATCCACAATATAAAAATAAACAAACACTCTTGAAAAAATTACCTGGAACGCCGCCTTCCTCCTTTGCAATCTCTTGCATAATGCCCTCTCTCACCACAGTCATAACAACGTTCATTAGGATCATAACGTGGGGGAGGACGGTAGGAAGAACGAGACTTGCCACTTGATAGTTCAACGCGCACACGTCTTCCACAAAGAATCCTAAAATATAATAGATAAAAGTCAGGATAGAGCCTAGTAAGTACATAATTTCTTATAATCCTTTACACATATTAATTGTTTATTAATATTGGGCCATATGTCTTAAACCATATATGGATACCCTATTAACCACTAGCAACAAGCTACCCAACTTAATAGAAACTACATCTAATACTATTTTACCAAAAACTTTGATGATTTGACGCAAGAATGAAAAACTTAAAATTTCAGTAGTCAGGGGTCTGTCCAGACACTTTGTGAAAGGTCCGTTTTTCGTGAAATTGTGAAAAAATTACACACATTCTTTCAACCAGGGTCCGCTTTTATGAATTTGTGCAAATAGGGTCCGTTATTGCAAAAAAAATTTTTTTCAAGGAGTTTTTAAATTGTATAGACATACAAGATTATGCTCAACACAGTAAAATTGTAATTAAAAAAAATTAAATTTTAAAAAATAAACAACAATTGCTCCTTCTAAATTAGAGATGCAACATACAAATATTTGGTATTTAGCCTATACTGCTGAACGCAAAATATTAATTTCGGACGAATAATGGAAGAATCGTCTGCCGAAGACAAAACTCAATTCGTTTACATCCATCTGTCTTGTTTTCTGCTCTGGAAAGGGTTTATTCGATTAACAAAATAGTAATGAAGATAAACAAATTTGTGAAGGGTCCGATTAAAAGAAAAATCATTTTGTGAAGGGTCCGTTTTTAAGTTAAAATATTGTGTGAAGGGTCCGTTTTTAAGTTAAAATATTTTGTGAAGGGTCCGTTTTTATGAAAAGATATTTTGTGAAGGGTCCGTTAACGGACCCACATTTCTTCTAAACAGACCCCTGGTAGTTCATCATTATCTGTTTTTTTTTTTGAATTCACTCCTAACTTACCTATCTAATAAACTAAAAGAATTAAGATGAAAAACAAGCATCTGATGATTGTTTAGGAATGCAAAATTAGAAATGCAATAAAGAGGCAATTTAATCTGAAAGCTATGATTGCCGAAAATCATGTCACTGAATAAATAAACCCAATGCTATTATTCAAGCTCAACATGACAGGATGTTAATTTGTTAATTAGATTTACTTGGGATGATCAATCAATGTTCATATGTATATTTGTTCATGTGTATATTTCTTTATCTAAAATATTATTATATTCTTTAAGTGTGATTTTTCTATTTGATAAATAGGTAGGGTTCAGTGACTTAATTTATAAAGAAATATTTATCAGCTTACTATAAAGGCAAGGTATATATATATTTAAAAGAAAAAAGAACACATTAATTTGTCACCTTAAATATTAAAAAATTACCTAGTAGTATTCGACACCAATCAATATTTTAAATGCTGCATTATTTGAAATGTAGTGTTATGATTGATTTTCAATAATACTTCATACATGCAAAAGATTTCTCTGATTTAAACCATCTATATTAAAAGTTGTGAAGGGATAGAAGAATAAAAACATCTAATTCACATCTTCATCTAAAATAAGGTTGAAGACCAAAGAATTCTTTGTCGCAATTAACTTCAAGATGAATATAACAATGGGAGAAATATTTGATTTTGGGAGAGGTTTGACACTCTTCAAATAAAATAGCCTTACAAGACTTAAAAAATAACACTCATTTATTTATTAAAAAAAAATTCCATTGGCATAAAACTGGCAATTTCACTAGGAAAAAAAAATTCACTGTGTCAAATAGTTTATTACTTACAATCGACCATATCAGATACTAATAGAAAATGTATGCATTCATCCGATCAAAACTAAGGTAAAAATCTACAAATCTATGTTAATTTGAGCAAAACAATGAATCGGATATCATACATTCCAGTATTATGAGCGGTATTCCCATATTGAGGAAAAATCACGCCAATTTCACACGAGTCAATGCAGTTTAAAAACCATAAATAACACAGCAACTAGCAAAAAAATGTTTACAAACAAAGCCACGCTACTGAAATGTATGTACTAAAACAGGATTTTAGAAACCATGCGAAAATCAGTAGCAATAACTAGTGAAAAATTGATGAAAAACAAAAGAATCACTGTTTAAAATAGCAAACACTTAATTGCATTATTCGAATTAAGATGAATTGTTTATGGGCTAAAATTGAGACATTAAATTGTCATCAATTTTTGAGATCATTTCAAGCTTCATAATATCAAGTAATTTGGTCTCTTTTCTTAAACTTAATATAATCTCATTCTTTAAATATATATCTTTGATAGGATGAACATGATTTACTTTGGAAAATATCATTTCAAATATTTTGTACTTAATCCTTAAAGAGGATTCTTTACTGCCAAGGGCGCCCCTGGCTTTTCTTTTTTTAAACAATTAAAGAGATACAGAAAAACAATTTTGTTATAAATTTTTTTTATTAAAAATATTTTTATTCAAAAATAAATAATAATTACTTAACAATAAAAAAAAGTGTTTAATCAAACAAGAATTGTAATCGTCTTGTTTGCTGCCGAAATCTGCTTTTTTATGAACTTTTTTTATGAATTCTGAGCCATCTTTGATTTTTTCTTTTGCACACCGAACATGCACAAACTTGGCAGATATCTTAGCTACATTTTTAAAATTCATTTAATAAAATATATAAATAATATTATATTTTCTATTAGTTATTTAGTTTAACAAAGTTGTATAACACAAACTGACTTCTCACAACTGTAAAACTTCATCAACACAATAAATACCAATGTTTAGCGTGCACAAACACGTTAGTATACGAAACTACTGTTTGTAGTTATTTACGTTTCAAAGTCAGTAGTTATGCCAGCTCCATCAATACAGTTTTTCGTGGCAAAATTTGCAAGTACTACAAGAAATTTGTACTCTTTTTTTTTTANCGTTAGTATACGAAACTACTGTCTGTAGTTATTTGTGTTTCAAAGTCAGTAGTTATGCCAGCGCCATCAATACAGTTTCTCGTGGCAAAATTTGCAAGTACAAGAAATTCATACTCTTTTTTAAATATCTTGTTAACAATGCACCCCCTTTTATATTATTCTGCCGGCACCCTTGTTTACTGCATATATTATACCTTATTAAAAACCATTTATAAAAAATAAAATCACCCATTGGTTTTAAAATGTAAAAATTAGTGTTTCTTCCTTTCAAAAGTAATGTGAGCCACTAAACATTTACCATAACCTAATACAGTTGAACCTGTTCATCTTGAAAACCAGTATATCTTTAAAGTTTCTAAAATTCTCTACATTTAGGCTGAGGGCAAGGTGGCANCAGAAAGGTAGACCTCCTGGCCGGCTGTGGTCAATGGCACGCGGCATCTCGTTGATATCCATGTCTAATGAGGGAGGGCTTTCCAAAATCTTTGCCACCTAGTTTTCTGAGGGCTAGGTGGCAAAGAGAAGACTCATCTCTCCCTCATTAGTCGGCGTACGACAGACGCGTGGGGGAAGTGAGGCAAGTCTTAAGTTGTCAAGTAGAGATTTTAAAAGAAATGTTTCCTGTTTCAATGTCATTGCTTTTCTTTTACATTACGCATACTATATCGCGAACATATCATAAAAGATAGTGCATATATAGTTTTCTTAATTTATTTATTTTTTTGTATGATGTAACTTTAATTATTAATACTACTGAAGAGTTTTAAAGTTATTTACTGTTCATTATTTTAATTGGATAATAGTTTTTATCTATTTATTTTTTTGTTGTATAATTATGTTCTATTGAAGAATAAAGAATCAAAAAATAGCTGAAATGATAAAATATGTTTAATATACATACTGTAACTGCCATATTTCTCTGAAATAAAGGAAGTTTGTGCGCAATGCTTACTGCAATCTCAGAAATGTAATATATTTTTCGTTGAACAAGCGATTTAAAAATAATGTGAATAACTATTAATACTGCTTTTGAATTTGAAACAGTTACTTAATATATATTATTTTAAATCGATTCGTTGAGTGACAATAGTTTTTTATTCTTGTATAATCATTTCCTATTGAAGAAAAAAGTAACATAAAAAAATTGA